TACAATACTGTTATGTCTTTTAATGTAACCAAAATATTTCACTTGTCTCTTTTTTATTTCACCTAGCAACTCTCTTTTCATTCCCAATTTCCTCAGTACCTCTGTATTTGATAGCTTTTGTTTCCATGAATTACGACCTAATCTTCTGTATATCCACATCTCTAAAGAATTGATTCGATTTTCCAGTTGTTTGTACATTGTCCATGTCTCTGTGCCATACAGTAAGGCTGAGAATACATAACATTTGACAATCCTCATTTGTAATATATTGCTTATTTCTCTTGGTGTCAGTAACTTTTGCATCTTGTTAAAAATGTTTTTGGTCATCCCTATTCTTTTCTTGACTTCTGTTTCATTTCTGCCGTCACATGTTATTACTTGTCCAAGATATAAGAAATTTTTAACTTGTTACAATTTCATCCAGTTCACTGTGATATTCATTGTTAGCTGATTATTTTCCTTGCTAAATATCATGGTTTTTGTCTTTTTCAAATTATTATCTAATCCAAATTCTGCACTCCTTCTGTTTACTTGCTCTACTAGGTCTTGCAACTCCTGCTCACTCTCTGCTAGCAACAGTCAGATTGTTTATTATTCTACCATTGATGTTCAGTCCTGGTAATTCTACAATTTCTTTAAAAATGGTTTCTGTACATAAGTTGAAAAGGCTAGGCGACAGCACACATCCTTGTCTTACTCCTCTCTTGATCTCTATCTGGGGTGAGCAGATGTTGTTATATCTTACTGTTGCTTCTTGCTCCCAGTATAAGTTTCTAATAAGTCTGACATCCTTTCCATCTAGTCCATCTTGTTTCTGATACTCCCAAAATATCTAAATTCATATTCTTTGCCTCAGAAATTAAACAGTCAAATGTTCCGACTTGATATAACGTTCTAACATTCCATGTGCCAATGCGAAGATATCTCTTTCTACTTTTCAGATATGCGGTGTCAGAATGTGCCCCTTCATAAGAATTTACAGTTCTTTTAATTTTCGAAGTGATTGCATCGGTCAGAACAGAATGGAGAAATGGAGTGCGAACGTTGTACGGCGTGCAATGACACACTAGGACAATGAATGAACGAATGATAAGAATAAGAAAAAACTCCACAGGGGAGCATGTACAGCAGTAGTCTACCAATCGTCAGTAGAAGTAATCTCTCGTCGACAAATGTTTCGGCCCACGAGCTCCTATGCATTTTCAGAGAGTGGGCCTACCTGAGTTCATGAGGCTCAGAGTTGATTTTCTCCTGCTGCACGAATCACCGGATGTTTTCTGAGAGGGACAAGACGAAATTGGTCACTTTGCAAGAGGTATTGTGAGAAACGAAGCGTATTTACATAGTCGTTGCGGTAGCTTAATAAGAGCAGTCAGCTTACCTGGACGACCCAGTGGCAAGCTTACGCTTGGTTTATCAGACACATGTTATTAGACTTTGTTGGCAGATGGCCACTGGCAGACACTTCGGACACGATGAACTTTAAGGGATAAGCCTTTATTTTCCACTAGATATCTGGACCAGTTCACCGAGGCCCATCCCCCACGTCGTTCCGTTGTGTCCAGAGCCAGCTCGAGGCCCTCTCTGCAGCCTCGCCCAGTTGTTTAAGTGCTCGTTTGCGTTCATTTCCTTGTAAGCCTAGATGTTTAATCACATTGTACATTGGAGTGGAAACGAGACCTCTTGCGCCTACCTTGACGGCGAAGATTCTTACTGTGTACGCTTCGTCTCTCCTCAGACCAGCCGCTAAGTCACTGTACTTCTCGAGCATGTACATGTGGCTTTCGTCCATTCGCGACTCATACGGTACGGTCAGCTTGATCAGGATGAGCTGACGTTTCTCCCCACAGCGAAGGACTATGTCGGGTCGCAGGCCAGTCTTCCGGATTAACTCAGGGTACTTTTCTTGACCATGCAGGTCAACCGTTAGTAATCAGTCCCTCTGACAGTCAAGCATCGATGGAGCGTGTGCGACTTTGTTGAATGAGAATAACTTGTTAGACTCTTCAGGGTAGTATAAGTAAAAACTATAAATATAAATATTAACTTAGTTCTTCTATCACCATAATAATGTTATTAGCCGGTAACTCGACTATAAAATATATGAGTCTTTACTCATATACGTGATACTCCAATGGCCTGTAAAGAGGCGGTTTAAAAAAACAACAACTATAATTAGTTACCTAGTTAGTCAGTCAAAAGATTATCATTACCCGCACATCAGACAAGCCCATACGAGCTCGAGTCCTATCTTCAGTATATCCCCCAGCGTGTGGCGACTGTTAACACCATTTAAATGTTGGTTTACTATTCTTCTTTGGCTACCAGTATAGTGTTAATATTTGGCAACGCCTCCTTTGCCCTGGTTCTTGTAGTCTTTTGGGTGTTGCTGATTCAACGTCGTTTCTCGATTCACCTTATAGTCCTGCACCCTTTATACACACACACACACACACACACACACACACACACACACACACACACACACACATACATACAGATAAGACCTATATATACATACATATATATGTGTGTGTATGTATGTATGTGTGTATACAAATACAACTTGACCAAACCTATCATTCTAGAGCAGATTGAGAACGTAAAACAGTTTTAAGGAACTTTTTAATGTGTGCACTTTCTTTGTGAATTCCGGAACCCTATTTAATGGGGAGGAGGGGTGGATAGAAGGCATATACCAAAAAAGAAGACTGACGTAGAGCAAGAGATAGACCAAGAACAAGATGGGAAGATAACATAACTGGGACACTGTTTATTGCTTCTGCCGATGCATTTTTGTTCCATTTGTAGACTGGATATAGTTTCGTCGCCCCGCTTCTGAGTTGAATGCATGGCATGACATTGTGAGCTGCGGATTTCATTTGGAATGTTTTTTCGACTGTGACCAACGTGGTGGTGAATTGTAGATTCAGAAAATGGGGCGATTCCTGTCGTCGCAATGTTGATGGTGACCGTATGTGATTAAAATTGATCGCGTGGGCAACTGCTGATCTGTTGTGGTCGAAGCAGCCAGGAAAGCACGAAGCAGGAAAAGAGGACGTAAAGAAGAGGACGAAAAGGAAGAAAAAGAAGGCGTAGGGGGAGACCGATATTTCCACTGCCGCATAACAAGTATGTTATAAGAAAAGCGACCAGGGGCATCCTGAAATCGGATGTGTTTAACCGAAAGGCGCGGATGTTGCAGCTTAGCTGTTGACTACAATAAAACGTGCACCCCCCCCCGCCCCTTTTACAGGCGGACAAAGAAGAAGAGGAAGAAGAAGAATTCAAACACACACACGCAAAACTAGTAATAGGTGGATTGGGCGCCACAGGCAGGAACTGTGTGCGACATTTAACCGCTAAATAGTAGCCCAACATTCAACAGGGCAGGTTTTGCTCACAACACAGGCAATTCTACAGCTGTTGCATATCGAACTATCTATCGCCAGTAATCATTTCACTCTGTTTTGCTAACTGTATTGATTTTGTTATTGTATGTGCACAGCGAATGTGTAACCATCTCATAGAATACAACTGCCTTCGTAAGTACGGAGAATGTTTTATTGTTATTTGATCACATTAGTTCTACCAAGAACAACAAATGTCCTGCACGATTAGAGTTTAAACTTGGTTTTTGAAATAAAATAAATTCTATTGCAGTAGTCATGTGATGGGGGTATTTACTATTTTACTTAAAATACATTTGCATCTATGAAACACACATCACAGTCATGGTAACTGTCTTTAATAACGTACTTGGGCCTGGATAAAGTCATTGAAAATATTGTTTTTAAATCGTGGCAACTTTTTCTTTAACAGTTTTCAAACCATCAGACTATTTTATGGAACCAACATTGATTGTCTAGCATAACAATACCCAGTATGTGAGTATACTAGAATATATATAAAATATATTATATATATCTGCCAGTTATGACCCAGGCGGATTGAAAAGGATTGTGTTTGAATTACTACTACTACCACAACAACAACAACAACAACTACTACTACTACTACTACTACTACTACTACTACTACTACTACTACTACTACTACTACTACTACTACTACCACAACAACAACAACAACTACTACTACTACTACTACTACTATTATTACTACTACTACTACTACTACTACTACTACTACTACTACTACTATTATTACTACTACTACTACTACTACTACTACTACTACTACTACTACTACTACTACTACTATTATTACTACTACTACTACTACTACTACTACTACTACTACTACTATTATTACTACTACTACTACTACTACTACTACTACTACTACTACTACTACTACTACTACTACTACTACTACTACTACTACTACTACTACTACTACTACTACTAATAATAATAATAATAATAATAATAATAATACATCTACTACTACTACAACAACAACAACTACTACTACTACTAATAATAATAATAATAATAATAATAATAATAATAATACAACTACTACGACTACTACTTCTAATACTATAACTGCTTATCCTCATTTTCTGATGATAGATTTTCTTCTTCAGTTCTGATAATAAATTCTTATCTTAATTTTCTTATTAAAGAATCTTATTTTTCTTCATTTTCTGATAGCAAATTCTGATCTTCATTTTCTGATGATGAATACTTATTTTCAATTTCTATTGAAAAATTCTTATCTTCACTTTTTGTGATGAATTCTTATCTTCGGTACTTAATGATAAATTATTGTCTTCATTTGACTGATGATAAATTCTTGTTATCTTCATTTTTTTTAATGAATAATTCTTATCTTCATTTGCTAATGATAAATTTATATCTCTATCGTCTGATAATAAATTCTTGTCGTTTTAATAAATTTTTATTTTTATTGTCATTTAGGTGATTGGCAGCAGAAACCCATGGTACAGAAATGTCTGATGTGACACTAAATAACACACATGTCAATGCAGCATTGTTAACTGAGTTTAACATATATGTTAGCATTTCTCTTAGATGTTAACTTCTACCCTTGAAAAAGACAAGACAGCCAGAATGAGTGAAGAAAAGTGTCTCATTCAGCAGTCAGAAACAGGAGATATCTCTGCCTCATTCAGTCAGTCTAAAGCCTCCGTTTTAAATAAAGATGACCTTAAAGAGAACTTAGAACCACCTTCTAATGTGGATGAAATTCCTCTGACCGATCAGGTCTCAAACCAGCAAGGTGACCTAAAACAAAGTGCAGATGATATAAATGAAGTGGCAGATGAAGAGGCACTGTTCGGTGATACAGAAGGCATACAGGAGAGTGAATTTCAATACTGCAGTAATGAAGATTTAAATTTTGTTGGGCCTACAGGCTCATCAACCCCTCTGTTAGCAAGAGCAACATCTGAAGGATCAGTCACAGAAGAGACATCTGACTTGAAGACTTCTTCCCTAACAAGGGACTGCTGTCTCACCGGAGATCCTGATGAAGATAATGACAACATATCCCAGGTTTCTTGTGGGTGCAGTTACCATGAAGATGGAGAGTGTACTAATGTTCCTGTTGTTAAAGCACAACCTCGGGAGAGTCTTATGATACCTGGGGCAATTCAAGTGCCGATTGTGGGACATGAAACAATGGAAGCCAGATCAAAGTTCACAGTAAGTTTTTCCATAGTTCACTGATTACAAACACTGTATTTTACTAAACTGGTTAGTGGTCATAGCTTTAAATTTATTTTAATGCAGATTTTGTAAATTTTGTTGGGTTCCTAAGTCAGCCGACCCTAAAATAAATACCAGAAAATGTTATGGCTGGGAAGTAAAGGTGGCTGTCATAATATTTACCACATCAACTTTCAAGTGCCATTTGGTGTATAAAAATAATCTATCACCATATTCCCATATAGCTTCAGGATATGAAAATATGTCCTTATTCCCCCAAAACTTTATATTTCTTTGCATGATGCGAGATGTAGGAAAAGTTAACAGGAATTCTTGTTCACTTACTGGGAGATGATTTAAAGTTAAGAGCGTCCATTTTGTTTCACCAGATTGTATCTAGTCTGTCGTAGTCTCTCCCAACAAAGTTTGTTGCTTGAAAACTGAGAGCATTGCTAGATGTGCAAGCTCTGTAACTCCTGCAACATTCACCAGGGATCTGGGAAAACATTGCATTCATTAACCAAGCAGCGTAATCTACAAATGAACTCACGACCCACAGAGGGCGAGGCAAATAGCTTGAAAACCTCTTTACAGAAACCATTCAGAATCTGGCAATGTCAGCAGCCTTCATAGAAGTTTCATTAATCTTATTTTAAGATTTCAAAAAAATAAATGTAAGTGCGAAAGGGGGCAGGGAGTGTAAACAAAAAGGGGGGAGGGGTGGGAGGCTGAGGCTATAGGTCTACTTTCAGCAGCCCTGACACACTTCATAGTATGGACAGTCTGGGGTATTTAAACAAATTAATTTAGTATGCTTCTTCTGATAATTAGATAGTAATTAGGACATAAAGTGACAACAAAAGAATAGATTTAGAATGTTCCTGATGGGTTGCGATTAGACAACATTCTGCAATGGACTTGCTACATGAATACACAAGAATGGACCATAAAAAACATTTGAATAAACTGTAAATCAGGTAATCAGGTTCCAGCTTCTTAGCAAACTAGTCACCCCATAGTTGATCTGTTCCTTTACTAACGAAAAAACCCACACAGAATGTCTATCAGTGTCCCTAATAAAAAAATTAACACAGGTTGCAGTTTCAGCAAAAGCCAGTATTATACCCACATCCTTTAAGGACATCCTTTATGGTGAATTAAAGACAGGAAGAAGATGTCGAGGCCGGCTACTACTACGTTATAAAGATGTGTGCAAGCGGGACATGAATGATACAGGTATTGAGGCTGAATCATGGGAACAAAATGCCATGGACCGTGTCATGTGGAAGGGGAATATCAGGAAGGGAATGAGACTGAAGGAAGAAATGATTGCAGAAAGGATGAGAGCTGAGCGTCTGAAAAGAAACGGATTAAATTCAAATGTTGTTAACAATGGTCCTGAAATCCCATGCTATCGTTGTGGAAGACTTTTCTTGACAGGGGCGGGTCTTGCTATTCACACTCGCCATCGCCATGGGCTGTGAGTCTCATGCCTCCTCACAGCGTATTATAACACTATCGTCTGGAAAGACGGAAAGGTGCCAATTAATGAGTGGCACAATCCATTCTAGCCTGATGAACACAACATGGATTTTCTGAACTCTTTCAGTCCATAAGAACGCAAGTTTTTCCCTTCATTTCCGTAAAAGCACTCCATGCTTTGGTTACTTTTTTATATTTTGACATAGCATTGCGACATATAAGAAAATCTAGTTTCTACGGTAAGTGCTTCCAGCGTATGCCATGACTTTGAAAGTAATGTACTCACAATAGCTGCTGTTACTTCCTTTCAGTTAAATTCTCCTAGGACTGAAAAAGTTCAGCATTTTCAGTGAAAACTTACAATTCTAATTTTGTTAATGTAATTTAAAAATGAACTGCACTGATGACATTACAGGTGTTCAAGATTCATGTCATGATAGAGGAAGATGAAGTTGGCTGGTTCATATTTCGTAGATATTCAGATTTTGTTCACCTCAATGATCAGGTATTGTTTGCTTGTCATTTTTGCCATGTCTTTTGCAACTCTTGTTTTATCTCTGTCTCTGTCTCTCCCTCCTCTCTGTCTCTCTTTGTGTACATATATGTTTGTGTGTTTTATTTCCATGATATCTTTCTCCTTGTGTGGGTTCCAGGGCCCCATTGTAGGGGAAACAAGAATAGACCCACTGCCTTCCCAACAAGCATGTCTTAGGAGTCGACTAATTGGGGACTTATTTCAGAGTGCATCCGCTCAAGTGGCAAAGAGCAGCCAACTGCACACAAATAAGTTAGTAGAACAGATGTGCATTCAAAACTCAGGCCCAGGCACAAAGCCAAAGTCCAAATGGACAAACAACAAGGACTTTCGGCCTGAGCTTATAGTTGGTGAAAAAAGATGAAGAAGAAGATATCTTACTTTCATATTTCTGATCTTCTCTCTCTCTCTATATGTTTGCTTTTCTATCCGTGAACTTATGCATTTCAGATGGCTGGTTTGAAGATTTGAATTTTCTCCTTATAATTAAATTATATATGCTGAAACATGCAGCTTGCTATTCTTGTTAATACACTTGATACTTAGATTGTATTCATGAAGTAAAGATTAGGGCAGTACCGAATAGTGATTTTCACTATTCGGCTGAATATGAATAACGGGACCAACTATTCGGCCGAATACGAATAGTGTATAAAATATATCTAAAAAAATGTTTAAAAAAACACATTCATAATGTCAAATGTATGCTGAACTTTTACTTCACATAAATTAGCACAGAATAGTCATTTTCTTCTTTAGCCTTCTGAGCCCTTGAGGTTTACAGCTGCAGATATCACTCCTCTCCATTCATCTCTCTCGCTGGCCTTATCTTCACAATTTGTGACACCAGTTGTTTGCAGGTCTGGCTGGACATTATCTCTCAAACTTCTTTTTGTCTGCCTCGTGGTCTACGCCCATTCCTCTCTCAGGTGTATGCAGTTATTACTTCTCTGCCATCTGACATTCTTTCAATATGCCCCAACCATTTTAGTCTGTTAGCTCTCATGATGCCATTTATCAATGGTGATTTAAACAGATTATGTGTTACATTGTTGCTTTCTTTCTAATTTCTTATCCCTTCCCTGTCACAAGAATAGTAGTAGCAGTAATTTTTCTACAATATCCTGTTAAACCCTCAAGGTTATAATTGGGATATATCGTGTTAACTGAGTTCTCAGAGTATATATTTGTTTATCATGTAACTACCCTTATGACCAAAATGTAATTTGTATAGTTTTGTATTTTGCTTTGATTTGAGTTGTGATTACAATTGAAATTGTACTATCAATAATTAGACACTGACTATGAGTAATTAGTTAATCTTGATATCATTATGTCATTTTCATGATAGATAAATTGTTTCCTTAGTGTGCAGTCACTGATTATTCTACACAATTTTATCTTTAGGGAAAACTAATTCAAAGGTGTCATGAGCATTCATTATCCTTCTAAATATGGATTTTAGTAAAGGTAAAGGTAAAGTCGGGAGATGTGAACAAGTGTCATTGCACATGGTTATAAACCATAAGTGCTCTGTCACCAGTACTGACAGCTGATAAGAAACTGTCCGTCTGTGTCGCCATCTGCACACAACTTTGTATCTGCAGAGTTTTTCCTCCATTTGCCTCAGAGTGTTAACTCTGGTACCCATTTTCTAGAGACTGGGTGAACCCCAGGAACTCTTCGGTTTCGAACACCAGCCGTGGTCTGCAGTGTCTCGCAGCTGGATTTGAAAGCGAGTCTCCTAGCGACTGCGCTAACACGGCCCCTGTGTTTTTAGTTCTAGTAATAAATTGCTTGACTTTGCCACGCAACTGTCTGGAGCTGTTTATGTGCAGTAAGTTTTCCATCGTCATAGGTAATTTACAGATAGTCATGTAGTCAGTTAATGGTTTCCTTTGGTAAACGAGTGTTGTAAACAGCAACGAAGTTAATTAAGTAGAGTTTGCAGAATTTCAGATTTGTTGGGCCTAAAGGTGCATATGTGGATATCACAGCCTAGCTGTCAACCACTACATAAGGAGTTAACTATCCTTTTAAGGGCAAACACAGAAAAATGCAGCAGAAGAAGAAAACTGCAACCAGTTCCATACTCAAAACCTTTCCAACAGCTGTAAAACAGATTCATCAACAGACATAACGACATGCACCAGTCTGTCATTAATGGTAGATGAGAAATGAAGACCATACAGTAATAGATTGCAATGTTTATTACCTGACATATATTTCCCTGTGGCCCACCAGCTATATGTAGTAGAATTAGATGAGCATGGAATTAAGGGCAAGAATGAATGTCTTTTATTTAAAATATTCATCACCTACAAACAAATTGCATTACAGACTTACTATTTTGGTGGTTAGAAAGCTAAACAAGTGTCATCAAATCATGATGCTGTCAGTGGAAAGGGCACACACTGAGACAAACTGTAATGGTATAACTAGAAAATCTTCAGCAAAAGATGTAGAGGAAGACCCAAAAACACATCATCATCATCATCATCATCATCAGGTGCCCTGCCGACTGGCGTGGGCGATCATGCCTCTCCATAATCCGCGATCTCCTGCAGCATGTATCAGTTCGTGTGCCGACACACCTCCATGCCATGCAACAAGACTGTCAAGCATCTTCTCTCGTTGTCTTCCTCTATCCCTCCTTCCACAGATCTTTCCAGTGGTCACAACATGTTCTATTTTCCCTCTTCTCATAACATGGCCGAAAAATGATGACTGTCTCCCTCTGATGTCAGTGATAAGTTGTCTTCGGTCTCCCGCCTCTTTCAAAACCTCTTGGTTGCTCTTTTTGGCTGTCCAAGGTATTCTAAGCATTCTTCTGTAAAACCACATCTCTGAGGCCTCTAAAAATTGTTTGGCCTGCCTACCGATTGTCCAGGATTCACATCCATATGTGAAAAAAAAAAAAAAAAAAAACACATACAGAAAAAAAAACAATTTAATGTATAGATGAATCATATGAGAAGTTCGTAGAGAGAGCTGCACAAGTTAGCAAAAAGCTTTGTGTAAGTTTTTTAACGGCTAATATTCTAATGAGGGATACAAGACAGAAGACAAACAGGACAGATAAGGTTTATCAAGCCACCCAAATCAAACTGCAGGTTGCTTCTAACTGTGCAACCACTAGGCTCCCTAGCATAACTGTTGTATGGTTGAACAGGATGTCTAGAATTTGCAGATGTTGATCAATCAGTCAATCAGTCAATCATTCAATCATTCAATCAGTCAGTCAATCAATCAGTCAATCAATCAATCAGTCAATCAATCAATCAGTCAATCAATCAATCAGGTGCTGTAACCACAGGGAAGGTTGGCTGCAATGGATCTCCAACATGCTCTGTTGTTTCAGTTGTTGTATTCTCATCTGAATAGTAGTTCTTTTGGTCACTGGGTTTTAGTCTTTAATAAAGCTGTCTTGGAGGGGGAAAATAAACAAGGACCTGATTTGATGTGTCATATTGTATTGTAACCTGTTTCATCAGCTCAGAGTCTTGTACCCAAGCTTTCGATTTACACTGCCCCCAAAACGTTGGCTTCGAAGCAACTTTGATTTAGACTTTCTTGAGGAGAGACAGAAAGGCTTGCAAATCTATGTGGATAACATCACAGGCCACAGGGACATCTGCAACAGGTATGTTGTTATGTTTCTTGCATGCACATACTATTATCTTCATCATCATCATCATCATCATGAAATGTGCCAGTAAATGCAGGTTTGCCTTCCCACATGATCACCAGTTTTGGATCATGTCTGTATTTTTGCTGTCATCGTGCCATATGGCAAATTCGTCAAGGTATTGATCTCTTTGTCTTCCACTTGTTCTTTTCCTCCTAGTTCTTAACCTCATATGACATTAAGGGTTTCATCCACATCCAAATGTCAGTGATAAGTTGAATATTTTCATAATCCTAATCTTATGTGTTAAAAACCCGTATCTGGTAAGAATGGTGCAATGGGAAGTGTCTGCGGGATGCGGGCACCACTCGAGACTCAAGGGAAAGGCAAGACGAGTAGTTAACCACATGACAATGGGTACCTTCAGTATGAAAACTCTTCACTGGCTGTTGAGGAAAAAGACGGAGCTAATATGGGTGTGTCCTGAGTGTTGTGATATCAAATCTTTACCCAGATGAACGCAGGTAATTTGGTTTAATTTAAAAAAAAATGTTTACATCAAAAATCCACCACTTAATTCCTACCCCTTTATTATGTTAGAGCTGCCGTTCTCAACCTGTGGGACGTGACCCCTTTGGGGATCTAACGACCCTTTTACAGGGGTTGCCTAGGACCATAGGAAAACACATATTCACTAAAGTTATGAAGTAGCAACGAAAATAATTTTATGGTTGGGGGTCACCACAACATGAGGAACTGTATTAAAGGGTCGCAGCATTAGGAAGGTTGAAAACCACGCTGTTAAAGATTGATGCTTTAATACGTAGATGAAGCTATGGTTGTGACTAAAACACTAAGACCTCATAGTAAAAACATTCATATTTCTACACTATTGTGAAATATTGAATCAACTGCTGCTTTTATGGCACAAGGATACTACAGTGATTGCCTTTAGTGGTCCTAAAAAAAAACAGCTGGTCTTAAACTTTTTTTTTAAATGTTCCTGGTCACACGTACATCTTCTTTGTTCCCAGCCACACATTGTATATCATCTTTGTTCTTAGTCGCTGTAATGTGACAGACTTTCACACGGGGATTCCCTGATGGAGAAGGTTGGGGGGAATGCCTCAGGGTCACCATGAAACCGAGAGAAGCAGACACTCAGAGAAAATAAGGTTCGCAAGGGGAGGAACGACCATGTGTTAACACGTGGAATCCAAGGAGAACGACCACGTGGAACCCAACACTTGGTTATAAGATCAGACCACGTTCTGAATAGACAGTATGTGTTGGACCGTTGGAACGAGAGGATGTGTGTGGTCCAGTGTGAATGGGAAGAATGCTTGTCAACGTGAAACTGATTACTTCAAGACGATGACTAGACTACAAAATTCATCAACGTGAAGTCCACCTGACTCAGTTGCGGGAAACCATGAATGCAGTGACGGGAGTCATCCATGCGGAGATGTTGAAGTGAAGACACAGAACTTCAGAGTGTGAATGCATCACGATTCAATGTATTGGTGTCTGAATGATGTGGTGCTCGAATGCTGTACTTGTTGAATAGGACATGGTCTGGACATATTGTATGAGTGCTTAAATGTTAATAAACAGTTATGTATCATGGAGATGGTGTCTACTCATAACATCTGTTTCATCGTAGAGTGTCAGTCATATCATCAATTAGAGTACACCCCCGTAACAACAGCCAAGGACTGAGCAGACCATATTGCAGTTGCACATTGTATGTCTTCTTTGTTTCTTATGAAACAGTGAATATCCTTTTTGTTCTTTCCTATATGTTGTATATCTTCTGTGTTCCTTCTTGCCTGTTCTAAATGTTCAGTGTCCCTAGTCACACATTGTATATATTTGCCGACAGTCAGACATATTAAATTTGTTCTTTCTTCCTTGTCATATACATTACCAGCAAGCCAGTGAGAGACTTTTTTTGTTTTGATGACCCACCAGGACCATACGACAGCCTTGAGGAAAGCAGGGTGAGTAATGGTCTCTCATTGATTGTTTTCTTTGTAGATAATAAAACTAAATATTTATTGCTAGTTAGTTACCTTTAACCACAGATAGTTCAGTGAAAAAATAACTTAAATATCGTTTAAAAAAAGTGTGGTTCAGTCAATGATTTTGTTTGTTATTTCATTGAGTTATACTAAAACAGTCTGTCAGTTCTTCTCTTCTTCTTCCTCTTCTTTTTCTCCTTCTTCTCCTTCTTCCTCTTCTCCTTTCTCTTCTTCTTATTCCTCTTCCTTTTCTTCTTCTTCTTCTTTCGTTCGCCTGAAATAAGTTGTCTATATCAGCAGTTTTGTCTCTTGTATAAATTTCACTGTCGTTGTTAGTTCATTCAGTGGTCCATAGAGTTTACGTTAAACTGTTGTTCTTTCTGGCCAAAAGGTTTGCCTTAATGTGTCAAAATCGGTGCAGTCCTGGAGTACATGCTCTGCTGTCTGGGGCACATTTCCACAGGTGCACATGGCTGATACACCTATCTTGAATTTTGTGTACATGTGGTTACGTAATCGGTTGTGCTCTGTTCTGAGGTGGAGGATAATGACTTGTTCAGGTCTGTCCATAATAAAATAGTCTTCTTGTGCTGGGGCTGGAGGTTTCCTGATCGATTTAATGATTCTGTTCTTTTGGTGGTATGTGACTGATACATCCGGCTGCTCTTTTGACACTCCTTCCCCTGCCTGTTGATCAGCTTTCTCTTTTCCAGGCACTCCACACTGAGACGGTATCCACTGCATTACGACTCTTCGCTGAAGGCTGAGTTGTGTCAGCAGTGTTTGCAATTCTGGTAGTTTCCTAGACTGGAGTGCTTCAAGTACTGATTTAGCATCTGTCAGCATTACCACATACTGTGAGCCAAGATTGGTATTTAGCAGTTTCTCTGTAGCTATCTTGATAGCCTGGGTTTCTGCATCGTAGTTTTGGCAGTACTTCCCGGCTGGTATGCTGGACTTATCCCTAGTACCATCTGGGAATTCTATGTACACCACCATTTCTAACTGCACTTTCTGCGGACCCATCTGTATAGACTCTGACCCACTGTTCTTGTGGGTAGTTTTCATCAATATAACTGAGGATGGCCATTCTGCGTTGTACACTATCTTGCTCTTTCTTGTCAAATATCCCTTTCATATTTGTCTGGATTTGTACCGTTAGTTTGCATTTTTCTCTCCATGGGGTTTGTTCCGGAATACTTTTAAGTGGAAAACCAATTTCTGGAAGGTCAGGAGTTTGTCTACATATTCCTTTTCTTCATTTTCTTCTTCTGTGGTTACTATTAAAAGGGCCTTAAGGGTTGTGTCTTTTAGTATACAGTTGCTACTTCAACACTTTTTAATTTTTGGGGGGGGGGGGGGGGGGGGTGGGGGTAGACCCACTGCGGCTTAACTTTTTAAGGCTCAAGCAACGGTGTGAGCGTTGATTGAGAAATTCCGTTTTGCCCAAACAACGTCAGTCGTGTGTCTCGTTTATGTTGCTTCACACACAGCTCCGTACTTGTTTCTAATGTTCAGAACTACGATCAAATTATTTAGGGAAAGTCACTTCAACGATTGCCTTTTAACTATTCTGTATCTAAAGCCACACTTGCATAGATTGATCTGATTTATAGCTATATTTTTTTCAACAGTGCATTTTCTAAGTTCATTTTCGTGGGCCATGAATACCAATGTTTCAACCAAAAGTATAGGTCCCAAAATGAGTCTTTCTGCAGCAGAAGCTCTGACATTGTTTCAGTCAGATGTTTTTAATTCTGATAATGATAAAAGAAATTTAGTTGTTTTTTTTTAAAGTGATTCAGACGGTGAATTTTCACCAGCGAAGCTGAGCGATCAGCTGTTAAAAATCTAGCGATTCTGATGAGTTTATTACACAGACAATGTCCCATTGCTACTGTATTTATGGTGTAAAAGAAGGAAAGTGTTTTAAACAAAGAGACAGTACTATACTATGGCTAAGCTACATTGAAATCATCGCAGCTACAGTCTGTATATTACTGTACAAAGTAAATAGTGCGTGTGTAATGGCTCATTTTTCTGCCATTTTTCTCTGAAATTTTGCTCAGTACTCTGTGAGAACTAAGAGCTCCTGAGTGCTAAACTAACCCAGAAACTTATCATAACTTTGGAATTTGTTAGGAAATTGAACAAACTTTGAAGTTTTGTTCTCAAATTTAGATATTCGCTACTCTTGTGGTTGCAAAATCATGGTAAGTGAAAAATTTGTTTGTAAAATGTTGTTGTTGTAAAATTAACACCTGCTGAATTCTTCTTTCCTACTAACTATAAACAAATTTAACATACACTTACCATCAGATTCAAAATGTACATTCATTTCTCTTTTTAAAAAAATATAAACTTTTACTGGGATTAGAAGTCTATTAAATTCTCTATTGCCTTTCTTTTACACCCACCCCTCTGCCATTTTTGTAAAGGGAAATTAATTTGGGCCAATTCTGTCAAAATTCAGGGGCCTGAAAGAGTTCAGAAGCATTTTGTAAAAGACAACTAATTTGGGATTTGCTTAAATCAGATGTATTGGGCAGACACGCGCAAATATGGAAGCCAGGCTGTATACCACAGCACAGAAGGCAGCCACCCTTTTAAGGGGATTTGTTAATTTTATTGACATTATTCATTTTACATCCAGTTGTACACTAACCCACATAGCTCCTTTTGTTTCTTTAATTTTTTTCCATTTCATATTATTATTTTAGCTCATTTTGAACTAATCATCTGTCAGTTGAAAGAAAAATATTATGGGATCCTAATCATGTCAGCAGGTTCTTTTCGGAACCTCGCTGTCTTCCCAGAATGCCTGAAAATCTCTCTTCATTTTATAATGAATTCATAATCTATTTATAATATGCATATTATTATTATATGAACATAATATGCTTTATTGATAAAATATAACTGCTGTGTGAAAAATGGGTGTTTGGAAGGACTGAATGTAAGACTGGCCTACTTGCCCACTTTGTGACCCTTTAAAATTAAAGTTTGTTCATTTGTTCTTTCTCTAGCCAAGTCCACAGCCCTATGTGCTTTCATAGACAATGCATCTTCAGTGTCTTGTATCAAACAATCATGAAGGTCTGCTTCTGCCTTGTTCTCCAGAAATCGTATTCTCCATCACCGCTCTCTCCAGGCCACCATGATGTTTAAGATAGCCAAAATGCTTCAGTTTTTTATACGATGAAATAAGTTGTAAAATATCATCTGGTCTTGGTCTGGGTGGTTTTTGACACTCATGGGAAAAGACCAGCGGATCAGGTTCTAACTGGCACCGTCAGAATGGGAACTCTTCGATGGCTACCAAGGAAGAGGGCAGAGAGCTTGTGTGGGAATGCCCCCTGTACCGAGATGCCAACTCTTCACTCACTCACTCACTCACTCACTCACTCACTCACTCACTCACTCACTCACTCACTCACTCACTCTCACTCACTCACTCACTCACTCACGTACTCACTCATGCACTCACTCACGCACTCACTCACACACACACTCACTCACTCACTCACTCACTCACTCACTCACTCTCACTTACTCACTCACTCACTCGCTCACTCACTCACTCACTCACTCACTCACTCACTCACTCACTCACTCATTCTCACTTACTCACTCACTCACTCACACTCACTTACTCACTCACTCACTCACTCACTCACACTCACTCACTCACTCACACTCACTCTCTCACTCACTCACTCATGCACTCACTCATGCACTCACTCACGCACTCACTCACACACTCACTCACTCACTCACTCACTCATGACTCACTCACTCACTCTCACTTACTCACTCACTCACTCACTCACTCACTCTCACTTACTCACTCACTCACTCACACTCACTTACTCACTCACTCACTCACACTCACTTACTCACTCATTCACTCACTCACTCACACTCACCTACTCACTCACTCACTCGCTCACACTCACTCACTCACTCACTTACTCACACTCACTTACTCACTCACTGACTTGCTCACACTCACTCATTCACTCACTCATTGGTACTGAAAGAGTTGAAAAAATGAACCATTTTATTCAGGCCCAGTGTGAATGCATGGAAGAGATGGTCTACTTACTCCGCAAGGAACTTTCAGAGAAAGATACAGAGATGGAACTTCTGAAAGAAGAACTTAATCTGTACAAAAATCAAGTGCAACTGCTGACAAGCCGCCTTAGGTAGGTTCAGATGTTTATTCGGCTGGCTAATCTGTGTGTTGTGTAAAAGCACATAATAATTTAATATTAGATTTATTTTAGTGTCACATAATGCCAAACTGGCGTATTAGTTTGCTCATTTGTTTTCTGGCATATGCGGAAATTAAAATATAAAAAGGCTGTTACTCACCATGCATGTCATGAAGGTCGCTAAGGAGGGTTGCCATAAGCCTTGCTACCTCATTCCATAGCCTGATTTTTTTTTTCAAGCATGACTTTGGCTTCCAGGTCAATCCAGTCTAAAATTGGCACCAGGTAAAGACCTGGGAAGTAAAGGTGGTCAGAGTGATATCGACTACATAACCTATTGAGGGCCAGTTGGTCTATAAAAATATGAGTCTAACTCACATGCCCAATGTGCTGCTTGTGTATAAAGGGACCTTTACTTGTTTTTAAATGACATCATCCCATAGTACTGTGTTACTCTATCCATCTGTTGATTCTGCGGTGCCCGCAGGTCAGTCTGTGCATTTCTGGGCCGGTGTGATTACAACCCTGTGCAAGTTTACAAACACATCATGATTGGAACACACCCAGAAAACATGACGTCAAAGGCAGAGATAGGTATGCTCCATGCAGTGTATCCAGCATTGCAAATTGGCTAAAAAAGTGCCGGTACTCAGTATCCATTTAATGCTGGGAGGAAATGATGCCAAGAAAAAGGTGCCAGTACTGCTTACCATTGAAAGGAAAAAAGCTCTTGTTGTAAATCTGCCTATTGTTCCAAAATCTACTTTCATTTTTTCGAAGTTATATTTTTTAAAATTATTTCAGAATCATTCAGCTTTAGTTATACATTTTTAGTGTTCCAAAGTCTACATTTATCTTTTAGTTTTATATTTTTATTACTTAAAAAATATGCTTATATTTCACTGCAGTTGTATACTATTTATTTCAATATCTCTTGTTAGTGAACTTAACAAAGTGAGCACTGTGGAAAAACCAGCCTCAGAGAAACGGCGTTCCCTTGCAGGAGATGGACGCTTCAGCATTGCTTCGATGTTCGGCTCCAGTGACTTACAGCTCATAAGTAAACTGGACACAATTGCAGATTTCAAGTAAGGTTCTTGTCTGCCAGTGTTCTTGTTCTATTTCTAGTCCCTGGTGTGTGGTACTGGTAATCATGTACTGTCTACAGCCTTCTGTCTTGTGTACTGTCAGTCATTCCTAAAATACAGGATGTCTAATAAGTTGCCATGCATTTAAAAAAAAAACATATTACCAATGTCATTACAGGTATAAATCCAGTTATGCTTGTATGTGTTCTTCACTAGTGGAGGACACACATCAAAATGTTTTCAAAACTTTTATAGTCATGTAGAGCATATATACAAATAAAAGTGGTTTTCATTTTAAAAAAAATGTTTTTTCTTATGTGTGGAAACTTCTGAGATACCCTGTAGATGTTCTTCCTTGCCATAATGCCAAGCCACCCAACATTCTTTCTCTTTGCTTCTCTCTACTTCTCTTTCCCTTAAACTTTTCTGTTGCCACAGCACACTCTGAGTTTCGCTTTCTCATGATGCACTCAAAGATTGGGGATCTTTCCGAAATGGGTAATCGCCACAAGGGGCTAGTCAGGTATTGCTTTTATGAGACTACTGTTGATAGGACATTTAGTAGGTTAACTCCTCCGAGACAGCTATGGACAGGACATTCAGTAGGCTAACTGCTCCGAGACTGCTGTTGACAGGACATTCAGTAGGCTAACTGCTCCGAGACTGCTGTTGACAGGACATTCAGTAGACTAACTGCTCCGACACTGCTGTTGACAGGACATTCAGTAGGCTAACTGCTCCGACACTGCTGTTGACAGGACATTCAGTAGGCTAACTGCTCCGAGACTGCTGTTGACAGGACATTCAGTAGGCTAACTCCTCCGAGACTGCTGTGGACAGGACATTCAGTAGGCTAACTGCTCCGACACTGCTGTTGACAGGACATTCAGTAGGCTAACTGCTCCGACACTGCTGTTGACAGGACATTCAGTAGGCTAACTGCTCTGAGACTGCTGTTGACAGGACATTTAGTAGGCTAACTCCTCCGAGACTGAGTGTATCTGCCTGAGAGGCGATGAACCGAGAATCTACACACAAATATGCCAGATCTGCAAAACTTAAGTCCTGGAACAAGAATAAAGTCCATAAGTGGAAAAATAACCAGGACTTTACAGGAGTTTACAGCCCTTTAACCTGAAGAAAAAATATAGGTCATCAGAAGAGAACAATCTACATTTTTAGGCACACTGTGTTAAAGAGCTGCTTTCTTGTCTTTTCTGCGGAGATTAATTAACTTGATTAATAGGACTTATGTGATAATGTGGCCTAAGTTATTGAGACTGTCAACAGTATTAATATTGTAATTGACTTATTAAAAGACACTTTACTGCACTTCTAAAGATGACTTACAAAAAATGTGCTTCAAAAATAATTTTTAAACTATCGTTTATTGCATTAAACAACACTTAAATTTAAAACAGTCTTTATTACCTTAAAATCATCCGTCAACAATTCAAAGCCTCTGTTGTTACATTTTGAACAATTCTTTGCTGCATCTTGGGCATCCTATTTTTTTTTTAAATCTGCAAATCAATCTGCATGACATTTGACATATGTAAAGTCTGCATGACATTTGACATATGTAAAGTCTGCATGACATTTGACATATGTAAAGTCTGCATGACATTTGACATATGTAAAGTCTGCATGACATTTGACATATGTAAAGTCTGCATGATATTTGACATATGTAAAGTCTGCATGACATTTGACATATGTAAACTCTGCATGACATTTGACATATGTAAAGTCTGCATGACATTTGACATATGTAAAGTCTGCATGACATTTGACATATGTAAAGTCTGCATGACATTTGACATATGTAAAGTCTGCATGACATTTGACATATGTAAAGTCTGCATGACATTTGACATATGTAAAGTCTGCATGACATTTGACATATGTAAAGTCTGCATGACATTTGACATATGTAAAGTCGGCATGACATTTGACATATGTAAAGTCTGCATGACATTTGACATATGTAAAGTCTGCATGACATTTGACATATGTAAAGTCTGCATGACATTTGACATATGTAAACTCTGCATGACATTTGACATAGGTAAAGTCTGCATGACATTTGACATATGTAAAGTCTGCATGACATTTGACATATGTAAAGAATCACAGCTCAAATATTTTTCTTGACATTTAAGAATTTGTTATTATTTACTGCTTACTTTACAAAGTTTAACATCTTCTATAACTTTTCTTCTTGTTTTCAAGGACCGAGGAAGTTAAAAGTGACTGACGCATCAACAACAGTGATAACAGCAATAACGGTTACAACAGAGACTGAAGCCATAATGTATTGTTCAGCAATGATATCTATCAAAGATAACGCTTAAAATAATAGTCAATTGAGAACTCTTTTATTCTTGTACAATTATAGAAGTATAATCTGGACATTTTCTAAGATTTTTAGATTTTACAAAAATATCATATCCATTTTGTTTACTCTTTATTTCGTAGTGCCAATTTCCCCAGTGTGGGTTCTTGGATTCTTAAGATCTTGGGGAGGGGGGTTGGGAGTTAGACCCAATGCTTTCTTCACAAGCATGTTGTAAGAGAGAACTAATTGGGTGTTTCCTTCGAAGTCAAAGTGCATCTGCCTGAGTGGCAAGAAACCAACAGATTGCATGCAAAAGACACATTCTAAAAGATGACTAAAGTCCACATAAGAAGAAGCAAAAGAAAACAAAAGAGAACCTTTGATATTCCCTTGATGTGCCTTGTCTGTTTCTGTTACATTGATCACCATATGGACCACTTCAACATTTACAACCATCAGGTCATCCATATTACTATAATTGTTATTTGCTGATATTATTGTTAATTCATTGGGTACCAAGTATTATTTGTTACTTTATCTGCTATTCTCTGTATTTTTGAACAATTGCAGTCTATTAGCCAATAATTAGTGATGATTAAACTCTTTCAATCGGGAGGAAAGGGGAAGGTGGGGCGGGGGGGGGGGGGGGGGGATGGGGGTAGCATCAGATTCCAAGATAGGTAATAAACAGAGATGTATATTCAGTACATCTTGTGTTCTTTGGCTTCTAGGAAGGAACTTATGAAGGTATGTTGTGTTCCTTGGGACTAAAAGAGTTAAACAGATTATAAATGCTTTTGTTGCTTCTCATTCTCCACAGTTTGCATCTTTGATGGGTCCACAGATCTGTCTTAATACCTTGTTCTCCAAAATGTATAATAAGGCTTTGTCTCGTTTAGTTTGACTCCAGGTTTCAGAACCATATAGGAGAAATTGTCTTATAATTTGTTTATTTCATTTTAGGGTGTTATTAATTGAATCCTGTCAGACCCAGACATTATTTTGTAGGTCAGTAGTTTTCAGGCTGTTTCCGGTGCCCTCCCCCCCCCCCCCCCCCCCCCCCCCCTAAACATTTTTTTCTTGTTTCAAATATATGACAGGCTCACCCAGCTTTTAAAAAAAGTGATGAAAAAGTGGAGGACAATGACACAAATCTCAAGTAACAAGAACTTGGGAAAAAACATCCACATAAATAAGAGTGTGAAATAACATAATGTATTTTGCTTTTTATTTGATAAATAGTTGAATTTTGTAAACATTTATTTATACTTAATTAAAAATGAAGAGGAAAAAAGGGGGGGGGGGGTTGTAACGGATTATTACAAATACAAATGCACTTAGTTTCAAAATTGCTTGGGGCCCCTCTTGAAACTTCCTTGTGCCTCTGCTGTTGGTGATAAGGGCTAGGACGCAGTAAATTAACCCTTGCCTGGTATTAAAAAAGTGTATTATACTGTTATTTTGTTGTATTGTTTCTAATATAATGTTAAAAATACATTGATTTGTACAGGCTAAGCAAGGCATAATTTTAATTGCTAAAAAAATAGAAGAAACTTAAATGCTGATATTATTATTTCTTTTTTGACTCCAGGTTTGCCATCTTGTACTTCTTGAATTGCAACATTTGATGCTTTTCTTCAACACATTACTGTTTTTTCCTGTGTATATGTTTTCCCCTGTATATAACATATGTTTTCCCCTGTATATAAGATATGTTTTCCTATAGGTTTAAAGCTTAAAACTAGGAGTCATTTATATATTTATATCCTAATTTTGGGCTTAAAAAAATAGGCATCATGTACATGGGTGAATTTTATGCATGGAAAAATACGGTATATTCTATTTTGTGTACTCATATTTTCTCATACAGATGTAAGTAGTAGTACTTTTACCCCACCAGAACATCACACAAGTGATAAACAGCTAATGACAAAAAGTGCCACCATGTGGATGAGGATCACCCGCAGAGAGGTCCCAGAAACTGTGTTCAGCCATTAGACTATATTTTTGGCCGGGCTATATTGCGGCCCCTGGCAAGAGTCAGGGTGGGGCTTCAAAGTAAAGAAAAATTGCATTCCACAAGGAGATAACTAGTATTGTCACATACAGATGTAATGTTGTCTAGATTGTCACTAGCTTAATATTTTATATAATATTCTGGGTAAGATATTAGCATCATAGTATTTGTCTGTGTGTTTATGTGACAGATTCATGCTTCTAACATGTTTGATGTAGCATAATAGTTGTAATGATCTGTAATATTATTTTGTTGTTTTGTTGTTGTTGTTTTTCCCCAAACAAATTCAGTTCCTGTTTGCTTTTCCTTCCACATATTTTATTTTAACATCAGTAATTTTAAGGTAGCCTACCTACCTTACATCTTTGTTTAAAATCTCTGAAATCCTAACTCTTCATTATTTATACAATGTTCAGCTCTATGTGATTTGTACAGTTTAAGCATTTGGTTGTATGATTTTTGTGTACTCGTATATATGTTGTTTTATATAACTCTGTGTGTTATATATATATGTGCGCAGGCATTTGGTTGTGTATATTATGTATTCTGTGTGGTTGTATGTGTGATTTTATATGGTTTTAAACTCTGTGTTCTATACATATGTGAACTGTAATTATTTGGTTGTATGTGTTCTGTATGATTGTA